CTTATGCAGGGACACTTGGCTCAGTCTGGGAGGAAGGGACTGGACCTCCCTGGACTGAGTCTACCAGGTTGATCACAGTCCTCGGGGAAGGACTTGTCCTGGAGGAGGTGGGAATGCAGTGTGGGCTGGGGGTAAGGGGAGGGGGTGGGAGGGGGGAGAATAGGGGAACTCATGGCTGATATGTAGAACTGAATGGTATTGTAAAATAATATATATATATATGTATATATATATTAAAAAATAATTTAAAAAAAGAATATTTGAAATTTAGACAAGAAGCATTTCCTCCTCTTTGCTGCCCTCCACTTCTGGCCGCAGATGCTCCCCTAGGCTGCAACACCGAGTGGTGTCCCCTCCTCCCTTGCAGCTCAAGCTCCTTCCACCCAAGTTCTCACCAATGGAGACTGACGGATGACCTGTGCATAGCCTAGGTCTTGTCCTCTAGAGGAACTTTCTTGTGTTCCACAGCCCCTCCTGTCCTTCCTGGACTGGAATGTCTGCCTAAGGGAAAGCTGGATGTGGAAAGAACCATTTCCCTAGAGTGTAGAGCAGAGACAGAATGGAGTTCTGGACAAACTTAGGAAAGAAAGGGACATGCGTCCTGAGCTGCCTAGCAACTTGCTCCTAGTGTCCAAGTTCATTGAGTCCTGTCTACTGTTGAGCCCATGTGCTGTGTTGGTGAACTCTGTGCCAGCTGCTCAGCATCTGTCCCTTAACTAACTCAAGAGCCATCACCAGAGCTCACCACACCATTGACCTTGAACCCTGTACTCTTTCCTGACATATCAGTCTGGCCCTTTGGAACCAGGAATGGCCAAGAACAGATATTTAGGGGACTAAAGGCAGTCAGAGAAAAACTGTCATTAGGGCCTTGATCTGCAACATCCAAAGTCCACAGCTATTGAAGTTCTCATTAACTAATCAGGCTCTTAGAAGGTCAGTTGAGATTCATCTGGAAACTTTCATTTGAACCATCCACATTGGTTACTGACATTGAATTCATATTCTGTAGCCCCAAGAAGACAGGTGAGGGGATGGAAAGGTTTGTACATGGAGGAGGGACAGGGTCCATCAGAGCTGGAGAGTGATCTATAGAGGGTCCCAGAGTCAGTGGTGGCTGAGACCACAGACATTCATCCAGCACTATGAGATGAGAAGGGTGTGAGGTCGCTCCTCTGAGTGGGTCTGTGGAGAAGGCAAGACTGAGGGTGGCAGCAGGTGAGTGGCTTGTCTGGGGCGTCCACGGGATCATCAGCTGCTCAGCAGGTGACTCCACTTGCCCTTCTCAGGCTGGGACATTGGCCCCGAGCTTGCCTCTGGCTGTGACTCAGATGTGCAGCTGGGATTCGGACACACTGCTAAGGACTGCAACGTCCCATCTAACTCAGCCAAAAGAAGGCTCTTCCTAAGTATGGAAATACCTAAAATAGAAAACCAAAAAAAAAAAGGACTTTTGCGAATTTTATTAAAATGATTTAGGAATTGGCCCAGGTCACAGTTCATCAGCCTGTGGCTGAACTTGCAACCAGGTTGGAATCTGGGTGTTTTCGTCTCCCTAAGAAGTCAGCACAAGAGACTGTGGGACACCTTACAGATGGCTTCAGACTGCCTGATACATGACTAGGGCACCTCAGAGGGAAAGTGGTTGTTCTGGGTGTCCTCAGGGTAATGGAAGAATTGAAGGATGTGAATGGAGAGAGAAGAGAGCCCAGAGTACACCCATCTTATTGTGAAGACCACCCTGGCGTTGTCCCTAAGGTCCCCACATGAACAGATGGTGGCAAATGTAGACTTGTGAGGCACAAGGAACCCAGAGACTGCACCATGACTCTCTCAGAGTGTGTGTCTATGGCAGGATCCACAGTGGAAACTGAGGCCCAGAAAAGAGTGTCCTGTTCCACATACCAGAAGGAACTAAGTTAGTGGGTGTCCAGCCTACACCCCTGGCCTTAGCCAGCCTCTCTGCAGTCTGTGTGTTGGGTGCGAAAGACTGCCAGCCTGGGGACCTAGTGAGCAAGGTGCACATCTGCCAACAGTGCCAAAGGCTGTGTATTTGAAATATCAAAGAACAGAGTACAGGGAGGGGCAACCTATGTGTCTATATGAGCAAAGAATATTCTGGAAACTTTGGAATTACTAAAAATCACTTTCCCCTCAAAGTCAGAATCAGCTGTGTGACATCGAGCACAGTACTTTCCCTTTTAGAGTCTTTTTTCATCAGATAATCCCAGAGTTAGGATTGGCTGCTCTGCTCATCCCTAGCAAGGCACTGTTCTCTTTGGTGGCTAGATGTCTGGCACATAAATAATTCCACAGAGACCATGGAAAAGTGGGTACCAGGAAGACTGAGCTTGTCTCTGATCCTGGAGATACTGAGAGGGGAAAAGCCAGGACCTTCATCCTGAATCCCAGAACTATCAAGGAGTTATACTTGAGGTATAGATGGTGAAAATATTTTTTTTGTTTGAACTAATTTAAACAACATCCCAACACAGCGCACGTAAACACAGGCACACACATAGTTTCCTGTCACACTTAGCTCTACATTTGTCCTACAAGTTTCAACCTTTGTCCCACAAGATTCAATCTTTGTCCCTCAAGTTTTCAAAAGGGTTTATTTCCTAACAATTTCTGTGTCTGGGTGCCAGAGCACCTTCTGGAGGTAGTGGACTCTGGTTGAGTGGTGGGATGGCTAATCTTTGTTGTCAACTTGACGACATCTGGATTAAATTAAAACCCAAATATGAGACACACCTGTGTCAGGATTTTTTGCTTACTATGAAATGAGAAAATCCACTTCTAAGCCGGATCTTTGAGGTGGGAAAACATGCAATTAACACACATCATTTCAGGAGGGAAGCCCTGACTCTAATCTAGGCCACGCCTCCTGCTGGAAGCCCATATGAGGACACAGAAGAAGGAAGTTTTTCATCTTTGACTTCTTGCTTTCACCTCGATAGCAGGTCCATTCCTTCCCTGGCATTAGAGCCTCCTTCTTCAGGATTCCAGCCTATACTGAAGAGCAGCTGAGACATCCAGCCTTGTGACTGAGCAGCTACTGGAGTCTTCAACCTTCTATTCATAGGCAGCCATTGTTGGACTAGCTGAACCACAGCCTGTGAGTCATTCTATAAATCCCCTTTCTGTATATATATAGAGAGATGTATTCTGTAAGTTCTGTTATTCTAGAGAATGCTGACTAATACAGGGGGTCACTTCTCTCCACTACTCACTTTCAGCTTAAACAAACTACTCTGAACTGCACCTCGAAGCCCTGCACGAAGTTTCCATGGATTCACTCTATTCTCTGCCCGCTGGACATGTGGGTGGCTGTGGCCCCACCTGGGAATATTACAGTCCTGAGTGGGTGTTGTTGGCTGTACTACAAAACTCCACAACCTTCCACAGCCCAACAGCTCCAGGGATATGTTCCCAGAACTGGATCAATGGCATCTTCCATATGTTTAAATTCTTTGGCCAGTAAATTAGTTTTAAGATAGATGCCTGTATTAATGTGATTTTTTAGCCTGTTAATGAAGAGATGACTCCATCTCTGTCCACTATTGTCTCAAGTTCCAGTTAGGATTATGGAACAGGAAGGATGCTGGTCCTGAGGAGCTGACCCTGGGTCTCACTTTGGGGGTTGGGGAGACTTAAGAACACCTGTCATATCTCAAACCCTGACTTTCTCTTGTGGTTTTTGAACTATTCTCTTTATATCTCCTTTTGATTTCATGTGAATATGGGAAGGCTTGGGGGGGGGTACAAACCTGGGATCCTAATACTTGGGTGGAGCAGACCTAATTTGGAGTTCACGGTTCTCCTAGTCTTCATAGTGAGTCTGAGGCCAGTCTGGACTAGGTGCATACGTTAAGGTTTGGGCAAGAATACCAAGTCAACAGTTACAAGGACAGAGTGCACTCCTGAGAGTGAGACACCATTATCTTCAGCTCTCACCATATCAACAGGTCGTTCACTCTCATCCTGCTCAGGTCCCAGGAGGAGCTGATGCCTCCGACCCACACTGCCAAAGGTGTTTTCATTCCTTCCTCAGCTTCAGGCAATCTCAGTGCAGACTGTGTGTCTCTTTATGAAGATACTGAGGACTGGTCAGAGGAAGGAATGAGCATCCTCACACAGTGCCTGTGTTAGATGTTAACACCCTTTCGTCCAGTCCTTCTACTTCTACAAACAGCATAAGGAAATAATCTCAAATGGGGGCACTAACAGGCAATGAGAACTCCTTTACATTACTGTTTACATAAGGATTAGGAACAGCACAAAGTCCAGGAGTCAGGCAGAAGAGCCGTTATCAAAGGCAGCACAAAGCAGGACCAGGGCCAGGTAGGATTTCAGATCCTGATAAGACAAGGAAATCACAGAAGCAAGGAGGGTGTGGTCCGTGGGAATCACAAAGGATTCCATGAACTTCCTAGGATGAGGACTTGGTACTTGGCACAAGGCAGTGCTGTGGAAACAGAAGTAGCATTTATAACATACACATACATACAATGATGCACACATGTAATATAAAGAGGAGGGAATGCAGTTGTGTTTTTAAGATAGTGGAGATCAGTTATCTGAAAGTGGGATGTCAATTAGCGTGTCCTGGGTCCAAGTCCTCACTAGTCAACACTGAAGACTCACACACATTAGCTAAGTATGTGCCTGTGGACTAATACAGAGGGTCACTTCTCCCCATTACTCACTTTCATGTTAAACAAGCTACTCTGACCTGTACCTCGCACCCCTGTACAAGGTTTCTATGGAGCTGGGAAGACTGCCTCATAGCTACATTGCACCTGGTGTACAAAAAGCCCTTTGTTCTGTGTCAATTGCTCTGGAATGCCATTTGGGCTGTGAGAAAAAGGGGGTCTGGTCTTCATTTGCACAAGAAATAAAGCTGTGCACCTAGCTGTCCCCTGGGTGCATAGCTCCAAAAGTTGTTTACCATAAGTCAAGAGACTGTTTGCTGTTATGGCCTAGGATGCTTGAGAAGTATTTCAGGTAAATACACTATGAGGAGTTCTTGGAAACTTACATAACATACAAGAAAATCATTGCCGGAACCAGCTCAATATATACAAAAGCTAAAATATCACCAAGACTCCTTAAGCCATGGCTTGACCTTCAGGAACATCCTTGAACTTTCCAAGTAGTAGGTTTTGTTGTAGTAACTGAATTCCATTATATTTTCCTGTGGCTTGCAGTGTTGTACCCATTTCAAGAAACCCCCAGAGACCACCAAGGAGCCGGTTTCTGAGGCAAGCACATAAGAGTTCTTTTATTGCAAGGTTCGAACAGGGGCCACCCCACAGCAAATG